AGAGAGAAAAAAACGTTTTTAATCCATTTCAAAAATCATCATCGTACCCATCTCGTCAAACTCGAGTTAAAGAATTCCCATCCTACATTACTCAAAATTACTGAATATAAAACGTTACTGTCTATAAACGAGGAAGAAGACAGATTGAACATCAGATACATATAAATTTAACTTTTACAAGTGTAAAAATCAGTCGTTTATTTTAGCTAAAGCTTTTTACGTTTGAAAAATAATCATTTTAAATGTGAGAATTCTAATAATGACTGCACAAAGAATTAAATTGGGTTCCAGCGCTAATTGTCTGTAAGATAATAATCAACAACATGTATTTTTATTCTGTTAATATATTAAATTTATCTAAAAAAAAAATAACTAACTCTTTTTAAAACATATTTACAGGTTGCTTCCCTTTGTTATTTTATTTATTTTTTGTGATATATCAAAGTTACATCATCAGCATGTATTTTGTCTACGTGAACATATCAATTACACCATCATGTATTTTGTCTACGTGAACATATCAAAGTTACATCATATCAAAGTTACATCATCAGCATGTATTTTGTCTACTTGAACATATCAAAGTTACATCATCAGCATGTATTTTGTCTACGTGAACATATCAAAGTTACATCATCAGCATGTATTTTGTCTACGTGAACATATCAAAGTTACATCATCAGCATGTATTTTGTCTACGTGAACATATCAAAGCTACATCATCAGCATGTATTTTGTCTACGTGAACATATCAAAGTTACATCATCAGCATGTATTTTGTCTACGTGAACATATCAAAGCTACATCATCAGCATGTATTTTGTCTACGTGAACATATCAAAGTTACATCATCAGCATGTATTTTGTCTACGTGAACATATCAAAGTTACATCATCAGCATGTATTTTGTCTACGTGAACATATCAAAGTTACATCATCAGCATGTATTTTGTCTACGTGAACATATCAAAGCTACATCATCAGCATGTATTTTGTCTACGTGAACATATCAAAGTTACATCATCAGCATGTATTTTGTCTACGTGAACATATCAAAGTTACATCATCAGCATGTATTTTGTCTACGTGAACATATCAAAGCTACATCATCAGCATGTATTTTGTCTACGTGAACATATCAAAGTTACATCATCAGCATGTATTTTGTCTACGTGAACATATCAAAGTTACATCATCAGCATGTATTTTGTCTACGTGAACATATCAAAGCTACATCATCAGCATGTATTTTGTCTACGTGAACATATCAAAGTTACATCATCAGCATGTATTTTGTCTACGTGAACATATCAAAGCTACATCATCAGCATGTATTTTGTCTACGTGAACATATCAAAGCTACATCATCAGCATGTATTTTGTCTACGTGAACATATCAAAGTTACATCATCAGCATGTATTTTGTCTACGTGAACATATCAAAGTTACATCATCAGCATGTATTTTGTCTACGTGAACATATCAAAGTTACATCATCAGCATGTATTTTGTCTACGTGAACATATCAAAGTTACATCATCAGCATGTATTTTGTCTACGTGAACATATCAAAGCTACATCATCAGCATGTATTTTGTCTACGTGAACATATCAAAGTTACATCATCAGCATGTATTTTGTCTACGTGAACATATCAAAGTTACATCATCAGCATGTATTTTGTCTACGTGAACATATCAAAGCTACATCATCAGCATGTATTTTGTCTACGTGAACATATCAAAGTTACATCATCAGCATGTATTTTGTCTACGTGAACATATCAAAGCTACATCATCAGCATGTATTTTGTCTACGTGAACATATCAAAGTTACATCATCAGCATGTATTTTGTCTACGTGAACATATCAAAGTTACATCATCAGCATGTATTTTGTCTACGTGAACATATCAAAGCTACATCATCAGCATGTATTTTGTCTACGTGAACATATCAAAGTTACATCATCAGCATGTATTTTGTCTACGTGAACATATCAAAGCTACATCATCAGCATGTATTTTGTCTACGTGAACATATCAAAGCTACATCATCAGCATGTATTTTGTCTACGTGAACATATCAAAGCTACATCATCAGCATGTATTTTGTCTACGTGAACATATCAAAGTTACAGCGGCTGTTGGTGCCAGACAGGGCCTGACACTGTGCTCAATGTTGGACACACCTGTGGGTTAATCCTTCAATACCTGCAAATACCTGACAGCGAGAAGGAACACATGCATGCTCTTCGTGTGTTGACGTCACAGTTCCAGAAATATAGTTGACATCTGAGCAGCCGCCTAGGTCAAATAGTGCAGACGTTTTCTTACCTAAACTATTGCTTCAACTAGCACGAAATGTCTGATATGTGTGACCGGATTCCGAACTATTTTTGTTGCACTTAGCACGATCTAATTGATACAGTTGGATTGTCTTCATACCACAAGCTACTCACTACTTTCACAGCAGTACTCAGCCTTCAATAGTTATGCGACTAAAAACCTTTCTTACAGTTCTGCTAAGCCAATAATTCTTTAAATTTTAACTTTTCGTAGTTCTGTTGTGTCTGAGTTCTTTACATTTTAACAGTTCTATTTTGATAAAAGCACCTTAAATTAGAACTTTCTTGCTGTTCTGTTCTGGCCATAGTTTTGACATAAACAAGGTAATATTACTAAGGGTGTTTTCGGGTTAATCGTATCAACAAAAAGTAGATTCCATTTATTAAAATTAAATTTCTGCTTTTTTGCCAGTAATGTAAACCAAAACCTATAACCACTTATTGCTTGAAAAGCTGGTTCCAAATGGTTCTAAATGGTTGTTGCAAGAAAGCATATGTTTCAATCAAAATTGAATATTTTATAACAGTTGTGAACTAAGGACAAAATTACCTCCGGTTTTATTAAGGCTAGAAACATTCAAACAAATAATAACTAGTGTATTTTATCATGGAAAACAATTGTTGTGACTTTCATTGTTTTACTTTCCCTGGCCACTCCGGTTGAGTTCAAGGACGGATTGAGGTCGGTTTATTTTTCAAATATTTGAATTGTTTAAATAATTCAAACGGCTTTTCAACGGCTTATATTGAATACAAAAATGAAAAAAAATTAGTGTAATCGAATGTTAGCCTCAAGCAAGGATTTTGTAATAGCAAAATGGAAGGTTATGGTTGAGGTCCTATGCTCAACAAGGCATAAAGAGATTAAGTAATGTAAGTTGTAATATTATGTTAAATCACGTAAGTCATGCCTACTATATCTGTAACTAGGCATGCTGCCCAGCTTCGCTTAGGCTTTCGAAAACATTGAGAATTTGAATGCTTAATTAATTCGCCCATATAAGGCGCTGGTCAGTCGAGGTCAGTTTTGACCCCCTCATCGTAGACTGTTTGGCCAACCGGCCCCCGTGTTCTGTCGCCCCAAGGCAAGACCCTGCCAAATTTGAAGCGCCTGCGGCGCCGGGAAGTGCCCTATCGGGCACCCGACAACTTAGCTCTAGAGATCATCTAGATCTAGATCTAGAATCTCTAGATCTAGATGATCTAGAATATCTAGATCGAGATCAATATCTAGATCTAGAATCTCTAGATCTAGAATCCAAATAGATAAAATATTTTTTTTAAGTTTAGGCCGAGAAAATCGTATTGTATACATTTCATAGCGTACATAGATCTAGCTCTAAATCATATTTGAATGAAATAGTTCATTTCTTTTTATTCTAAACTCGGAAGATGACGTCATCAGTTTCGTGCTCTTTTTTTAGTGTAAACAATAAGCGACGTCATTGTTAAATGCGTCCTTGTCTCATGTTTATACACTTTTCCGGTTACATAAATAATACTGTTTCTCTACATTCGAATACGCCTTTATTTTTTATTTTTCTTCTTTAAATAATTTTGTGGTTATACATTTAAAACATCTAACATATTTTTTTCAATAAAAGTCCGTAAAAAGTTCTTCATATATCGCTGCCGATTCTGACGTGATGTCCGGCGAAAATATTTTGCGGACAGAGAGAAGTGCGCACATGGGGAATTATATATTAGGATGGTTTATTATTATAAAGAGACACCAGATTACCATAAGAAGATCGCTTTTTAAAAAAAACGACAAACAAATGAACCGGGCGAACAATCCTCGCTATTATTATTATAAAGCTCTGCGTAGCCTACAGACGTGGTAAACAATAACAATGATACCAGTAAGATGGTGGTTAATGTTTTTTTTTTACAGACGACGGTCATATTTTTTAAATCTGTTCGAGGGGGAGGGGGATTTCAGATAAAAAAAAGTACAAGTGTTTATAAGTATGGTATCGACGTTTGGACAGCTTTGACCACTGTACGTAACACGTGACTCCAACTATTGAGTTCATGTTACCAACACACACACACAAACACACACACACATACACATACACATACACATACACATACACATACACACACATACACACACATACATACACATACACGAGAGGTTTTAGATCATGTACACCGCGCTACAGTACTTCCGTCTTCCCTGCAGCTTTTATACGGCCGGGTGGGTGTGGCGGAGTGTGTACACTATAAAGATTGGGAGGTGATGAGTGGGGGCAACATTTAACGACATCATGGGGGCGCCCATTCTGTCAATGGTCGTGACGCCATATTAAAGTTCTCGAAAAATAGCCCGACCCACATATTTGTAAAGTTAAAAACAGTAATTACAAAATCTACTTAAAATGGATTTTTTTTAATGACAAAATTCAGCTATAAAAACCATTTTGTACAAGTTTCCCCTTAACTAAAAGCTTTGCTTCCTCAATAACTCATAGTTGGAGACGATACTGAGTTGCATTCACTACAGCGTATTTAGATATTATTGTGTGGTAAATCACAAATACTGCCTACACGGCCATACACTGCAGCCAAAGGTTGACATATCTCAACCAACCATTACACGAAACTGTAAAAACAGAGAACAGAAATCATTGGGAGTAGCTGGTACTTACGTTGAACGTCACATGGTGAGGCACCCTCTCCTCATACTCCTCATAATCCTCCCTCTTCTCCTCGCTCACTCTCCTGTCACGTGGCCTCTCCAGCATCATCTCCATGGCAACGTGTACCCTGGGTAACAGTTACATATCCGGTCCGTCAAAGTTTAATCCATCCGCTCATCCACTGGATGTAATCCGCCATAGAAACAGGTCACAAAAACTACACTAACCAAATCCACACAAAAAAACGTCTTTTTTTTACCTAAGTTATATAAAACACAAGATTAGCCACCGACCAGGTATCACGTCTAACATTAAATCAACGACCGACCAGGTGAGTGCATCACTACTGTACGATCGATACGTAATTACCTTTGGTAATTGATTTATGTAATTGAAACAATTAAGTTCAACTAGTCAAGGTCAACATAAATATCGAGATAAAAGTCTAATTAATGTTAACTAAACAGGAAAAAAAAATGACCATATTTGGTAAAATCGATAGCGAGGCCGCTCGCGCTAATGTTACTCGAAAGACGTGGGTTCAACGCCAGCACAGAACTTCAGTTTTTACCATCGATTGTGAACAATCTACACTTTGTGATTGAGCGATTCGAAACTGGCCCCAGTTCCCGTTTTTAGAGGGCACCTGGAGAATGATTTAACAACCCTGTACATTAGTACAGAAGTATGAGTAACAGGAATAAAAGGGAAATTCTAATGGGTCTATTGTTTTACCCCTACAGTGAATACAAGGGGGAAACGTAGCCTTTTCTTTAAAAAATGAGATTGCTAATCTGGACTAAAAAGGTGGGTAGGCTAGAAAAGAAACGGGTTAATGTGTGTTCACACGTATGATGAGGGGCTGTTTAGCTAACTACCGATGGGGGTCAGTTACTGTCCAATTTATGCCAAAACAAAATGCTACACACTTTAAGAAAGATTATTGCGTTGTGTACACACTACAGAGCAGGCCATCGTGTCGTTACACTACAGAGTAGGCCATCGTGTCGTTACACACTACAGAGCAGGCCATCGTGTTGTTACACATTACAGAGCAGGCCATCAAGTTGTGTTACACACTACAGAGCAGGCCATCGTGTCGTTACACTACAGAGTAGGCCATCGTGTTGTTACACATTACAGAGCAGGCCATCAAGTTGTGTTACACACTACAGAGCAGGCCATCGTGTCGTTACACACTACAGAGCAGGCCATCGTGTCGTTACACACTACAGAGCAGGCCATCGTGTTGTTACACATTACAGAGCAGGCCATCAAGTTGTGTTACACACTACAGAGCAGGCCATCGTGTCGTTACACACTACAGAGCAGGCCATCAAGTTGTGTTACACACTACAGAGTAGGCCATCGTGTCGTTACACTACAGAGTAGGCCATCGTGTCGTTACACACTACAGAGCAGGCCATCGTGTTGTTACACATTACAGAGCAGGCCATCGTGTTGTTACACATTACAGAGCAGGCCATCGTGTCGTTACACTACAGAGTAGGCCATCGTGTCGTTACACACTACAGAGCAGGCCATCGTGTTGTTACACATTACAGAGCAGGCCATCAAGGTGTGTTACACACTACAGAGCAGGCCATCGTGTCGTTACACACTACAGAGCAGGCCATCGTGTCGTTACACACTACAGAGCAGGCCATCGTGTCGTTACACACTACAGAGCAGGCCATCGTGTTGTTACACATTACAGAGCAGGCCATCAAGTTGTGTTACACACTACAGAGCAGGCCATCGTGTCGTTACACACTACAGAGCAGGCCATCAAGTTGTGTTACACACTACAGAGTAGGCCATCGTGTCGTTACACTACAGAGTAGGCCATCGTGTCGTTACACACTACAGAGCAGGCCATCGTGTTGTTACACATTACAGAGCAGGCCATCGTGTTGTTACACATTACAGAGCAGGCCATCGTGTCGTTACACTACAGAGTAGGCCATCGTGTCGTTACACACTACAGAGCAGGCCATCGTGTTGTTACACATTACAGAGCAGGCCATCAAGGTGTGTTACACACTACAGAGCAGGCCATCGTGTCGTTACACACTACAGAGCAGGCCATCGTGTCGTTACACACTACAGGGCAGGCCATCGTGTCGTCACACACTACAGGGCAGGCCATCGTGTCGTTACACACTACAGGACAGGCCATCGTGTCGTTACACATTACAGAGGCCATCGTGTCGTTACACACTACAGAGGCCATCTTTATGTTACACACTACAGAGGCCATCGTGTCGTTACACACTGTAGAGCAGGCCATCGTGTCGTCACACACTACAGGGCAGGCCATCGTATTGTGTTACACACTACAGGACAGGCCCTATGAAAATATGTCCACTAAAAGTCAAGAAGAAAGCCATCAACGTCAGCAAGACGCAACTAGGACACACACCAAAGACGGCCTGAATGTCAAGGACACAGAGTCAGACCTGTCTTGTCTTCGCACATAAAACAATCAAGGCACCCATTTTTTTTTATAATACCTGTTGGGGCAAGACTCAACTTAAATAAATAGACCGCAACAGTGAAAGTTCTTACACTTCATAAATATTTCAGACTAAGATAAACATACTCAGAACTAGGCAGGAATGTTTGAGAGTAAAGTAGCGAACTCAACAAGATAGTCTGACTACGTTCGCTGGCTAGGCCATAAAGTATTATACCAAGGTGGTTTTTAAGGTGTCGACTTTAGGGTCAGGATAAGGGTCCCCACCCTCCCAACTTTGTGTTGATTATATTCGTCCCCTGGTAACAAGACATGTTGGTGATTGCAGTCTATACCCCCAGTCCTAGCACCGTATATCCTCCAATGCTTGTAATCAACGTTAAGCACTACATTTCTCAAACTACGGCACCGTTTCTACCTGGGTTTCATCTCCATTCGCCGTGTGTGTAAACATGAAAGTGTACCACAATCAGGGCCATTAACCAGCCGTGTATGAAAGTGTACCAACATCAAGACAGACCTAGCTATCAGAGCATGAAGAGGGCTAGAGATCATAGTCAGCCTGCAAATATTGACAATCACCACTGTATGAAAATACAAAAGTGTACTACAAGATACCAGGACCAACTATTAAAGCCGTGTAGAAAACATGAAAGTATACCAATATGATGACAGACCCAGCTATCAGAGCATGAAGAGACACCACAGCCTGCAAATATTGACATCACCACTATATGACATTATGAAAGTGTACCACAAGATATCAGGGCCAACTACCAGCCGTGTGTTAAAACATAAAAGTGTACCAACATGATGACAGACCCAGCTATCAGAGCATGAAGAGACACCACAGCCTGCAAATATTGACATCACCACTATATGACATTATGAAAGTGTACCACAAGATATCAGGGCCAACTACCAGCCGTGTGTTAAAACATAAAAGTGTACCAACATGATGACAGACCCAGCTATCAGAGCATGAAGAGACACCACAGCCTGCAAATATTGACATCACCACTATATGACATTATGAAAGTGTACCACAAGATATCAGGGCCAACTACCAGCCGTGTGTTAAAACATAAAAGTGTACCAACATGATGACAGACCCAGCTATCAGAGCATGAAGAGACACCACAGCCTGCAAATATTGACATCACCACTATATGACATTATGAAAGTGTACCACAAGATATCAGGGCCAACTACCAGCCGTGTGTTAAAACATAAAAGTGTACCAACATGATGACAGACCCAGCTATCAGAGCATGAAGAGACACCACAGCCTGCAAATATTGACATCACCACTATATGACATTATGAAAGTGTACCACAAGATATCAGGGCCAACTACCAGCCGTGTGTTAAAACATAAAAGTGTACCAACATGATGACAGACCCAGCTATCAGAGCATGAAGAGACACCACAGCCTGCAAATATTGACATCACCACTATATGACATTATGAAAGTGTACCACAAGATATCAGGGCCAACTACCAGCCGTGTGTTAAAACATAAAAGTGTACCAACATGATGACAGACCCAGCTATCAGAGCATGAAGAGACACCACAGCCTGCAAATATTGACATCACCACTATATGACATTATGAAAGTGTACCACAAGATATCAGGGCCAACTACCAGCCGTGTGTTAAAACATAAAAGTGTACCAACATGATGACAGACCCAGCTATCAGAGCATGAAGAGACACCACAGCCTGCAAATATTGACATCACCACTATATGACATTATGAAAGTGTACCACAAGATATCAGGGCCAACTACCAGCCGTGTGTTAAAACATAAAAGTGTACCAACATGATGACAGACCCAGCTATCAGAGCATGAAGAGACACCACAGCCTGCAAATATTGACATCACCACTATATGACATTATGAAAGTGTACCACAAGATATCAGGGCCAACTACCAGCCGTGTGTTAAAACATAAAAGTGTACCAACATGATGACAGACCCAGCTATCAGAGCATGAAGAGACACCACAGCCTGCAAATATTGACATCACCACTATATGACATTATGAAAGTGTACCACAAGATATCAGGGCCAACTACCAGCCGTGTGTTAAAACATAAAAGTGTACCAACATGATGACAGACCCAGCTATCAGAGCATGAAGAGACACCACAGCCTGCAAATATTGACATCACCACTATATGACATTATGAAAGTGTACCACAAGATATCAGGGCCAACTACCAGCCGTGTGTTAAAACATAAAAGTGTACCAACATGATGACAGACCCAGCTATCAGAGCATGAAGAGACACCACAGCCTGCAAATATTGACATCACCACTATATGACATTATGAAAGTGTACCACAAGATATCAGGGCCAACTACCAGCCGTGTGTTAAAACATAAAAGTGTACCAACATGATGACAGACCCAGCTATCAGAGCATGAATAGAGACCCCAGCCTGCAAATATTGACTATCACCACTTGACTCTGGGCGGAGAGAAACAAATATTCTGTGAGACGTTTAAGCCCATTATCGCGGACCCCTGGAGAATTTGGTTCAAGACATGAAAATAAACACGGGCTGGTGGTATTGTGGTTGATTTGATCATACGAACAGTACGGGGGTGAAAACTAGATACAGAAATTGGTAAATACGTCAATAAAACAGTAATATGGATATTGTGGTTTTTCAAAGCCGAATTCACCTTTAGCTGTTCCCGTTCGGGTTCAGAACACACGAAGTAGGGTTTATCCGTTTCAATTGAAAAGATTATGAGTGGCCAGCTTTATGTCCAGCCGCCTTGGTTTCCCTTACATCAGAGTTGAGTCAAACACACTCGAACCCGAGATTCGATCTCGAGACTTACGGATTGGCAGTCGTAAGATCTACCACCCGACCAGGTCGGTGAGTATGCGTTCTTTACCCGGTCGATCTATAGCTAATCCAGATCTGTCGACGGTTTTGGCAGACGAAGTAAAGTCGGACTATTACAGTGACGTAATGACATGCAATGGTACTGACCAGGGCGAGTGGGTTGCTCTCAACATAAACAACATTGGAACAACATACCAGACAAGAGGCCAGTTAGTAATGGAGTCGTGGGTTGGTTTGCGGAGACAAAGTGAGATGAAATGTTGGATAAATGTATCGGCAATCGATGGGTGAGTCACGAACGTGCCTTTACACCTGTACAAGATGATAGAGTAGTTGGACCCACCTGCTAGTCACGTAAAGGTGGACCTTGTGTCGTCGTCACAGTGCCTATTCTATTCGTCATACTGATTGCCTAATGCCATGGTCATATATTGCCTAGTGTTCGAGACATAGTTGTTGTTGTTTGAGGTTATGAGATCATTTTCAATCATAAGATTATATCACAGATCATCATTTTTTTTAAGAATTTTTTTTTGTAATTACATGGGTTTTTTTTATTGAGCTTCCTTTCAATTTAGCTATAGTTGTGTTTTTTTTTATGGTAATATTTGTTTTTTGTATTATTCCTTATATATGTCATAGATTGTTTGTGTCCTATTACTACAAAAGAGCGTTGAATACGCGGTTTAACATATAGGCCTAAACTACCATATTATTCAATCAAGCATGAACATAAAGACGCCAAGTCTTCTTATAAGCCTATATATCAAGCGTGAAAATTTGCTTTATCTTCTACAACAGACAACGTCAAGTGGTAAACCGAACACAACAGAATAGCGACACAACTGAATCTTGTCTTGGAGAAATATGAATATCAATGGCGGCATTACTACCAATGTCTTTATAACTCATGTCTATGTAAACCTAGACTGAGGTACCATCTAATAAACCAATATTCTCACCACACTCTCAACATCCTCACCGATTCGATCAACATAACTTCCGGTTCTCCCCCCCCCCCCCCCCCCCCGTGAGTCAGATGTTGGCACTATCGCGTTGTTTGGTCGCGTACAGCCCAATGTTTACCCCGCCAGCTCAACGATTGTCTGCGGCCGGGAATGGTCAGCTTGACCACGCCTAGGCTTGATGACATAGGCAACATCTGGTGGCGTCATGAGTCATAAACATAACCTGTCCACAGGTGTAAAGCAAATTTTTTTTATTATTTGGTTCGGATTTCGGAAAATTGATTTCAACTTTTGAAAAAGATCGCGGAATAGAAGTTTATTAACGCATGATGATTTTTTGTATTGAACGAAAGTATGAGCATTACGTCATGTGAACGTCATAGGTGGGGGAGGGGAAGGGGGGGGGCTTCAATACACCATACAGCCAAAGGGATGGTAAACAGCAAGATTCGAACTAATATCGTATTAGTCTGTCCATGCGCTATCTCTATCGGCGGACAATAGCGATTGGATTTTACTTGAATTATGTTCCTGCTTAGCCCTCTGTAGCAAGTCAAATAGCTGACCACTAGCAAGCCAAATAACTGACCAGTATCAAGTCAGTGGCAAGTAAAATGACCACCGGCAAGTCAAATAACTGACCAGTGGCAAGTCAAATAACTGACCAGCGGCGAGTCAAATAACTGACAAGTGGCGTGCCAAATAACTGACCAGTATCAAGCCAAATAACTGACCAGTATCAAGCCAAATAACTGACCAGTGGCAAGTCTAACTGACCAGTATCAAGCCAAATAACTGACCAGTATCAAGCCAAATAACTGACCAGTATCAAGCCAATTAACTGACCAGTATCAAGCCAAATAACTGACCAGTATCAAGCCAAATAACTGACAACTGTCAAAACAAACGACTGTCTGAATTCAACCCCCCCCCCCCCCCCCACCACCCCCATCTCCTAGTTTTACACGTAGACGTACGCTAACTTTAGTTGTTTATTTTTTAAATCATGTTGGGACAGATATTTTTAGTTAAGCATCAACCTTTGAAGAATGTAGGAGGGGGGGGGGGGTTAGAACACACACACAAAGTTCGTGAATAGGACACTGTCAGCGTCGCTAATAAGTAGAAGGGTAAACAAAAGAACAAGCTGGCTTACAGGTAGAAAGTCAATAAAACAATCTGTAGGTGTTTCTAGATACCTGAGCCCTAGGTAGCAACAGGTGAGGGAAGATGCGACATTTCAAGTCGTGTCAATGTAGTTCTATTTTTATGCTAGTAATCCTATAGTGGCTATATAAAGTAGTCGTCCTATGGTCGCTTTATGGTAGCTATAAATATTGCAATGGTATTAGCCCTATTCTAGCGGTAGTTATAAAATATTGCAATGGTAGTCTTCTAGCGGTAGTTATAAAATATTGCAATGGTAGTCTTCTATCGGTAGTTATAAAATATTGCAATGGGAGTCTTGTAGCGGTAGTTATAAAATATTGCAATGGTAGTCTTCTAGCGGTAGTCATAAAATATTGCAATGGTAGTCTTGTAGCGGTAGTTATAAAATATAAAATACAATGGTACTGAGGTAGGTATTAAGTTTTCAACGATAACCGTACTATGGTATCTATAAAATATTTCAACGAACGGTATCAATATTTCAATGGTAGCTGTACTAAGGTAGCAAAAGGTCAATGATTAACATACTACGGTAAAAGTATTTCAATGTTAGCTGTACTACGGTAGCAATACTTTGATTGTAAACGTACTACGGTAGCAATATTTTGATTGTAAACGTACTAAGGTAGCAATATTTGAATGATAGGCGTACTAAACACTATTACATTGTGTGTAGACTATAAATAGCCGTAATGCAAAGAACTGGCAGTGAGAGTCCCTTATCGCGTGAGAGACTGGAGTCTGTATGTGACTCAGGGACCAGAGAACTGTTAAGTGCGGAGAAAGTTGCCCTAACTCTTCTTATGTCAGTAAGGTACATGAGACAGTGAGCACAACCATGGGCCAGTGAACCCTACAATGGGCCAGTGAACCCAACCATGAGGCAGTGAACCCAACCATGAACCAGTGAACCCAACCACAGTGAACCTAACCACGAGCCCGTGAACCCAACCATGCCCCAGTGAACCCAACCATGAACCCAGCCCTCAAGAGGTGAGCAGTCTGACTCAGCAACAAGACAAACGCCCATGAATGTGTATGGATTGGTTACATGACAAAGTACTCTCGTAGGCGACATGGAAGGACTCACGAGCACACAGACGAGGGTTTGCGACTTGATAACATGAGGGTAGAGTGGCTGGATATAGTAAGGTAACATTGGACATGGGGTGATTCGACCTTCTACCTGCAACACCACAGGCCGATTGTTTCGATAACCCATTGATCTGTGCCTTAGTGCACAAAATCAATAAGCGTGTCAGAGGCACACCTTGAGGAGTGAGTGACCTATTTACAAGTCCTGGTTTATCTAATGACCAAATGACTGATAAAAAGTGAGTACTGGGGAGTGAGTGCATCGGGTCTGCTGAATACAGGTGTCGTCAAGATGTTTTTAACAGGTCGTCACTAGCAGGTCATCATGTGGTTGTCCGTGACACTCAAATAATACAGGTATGTGGTCAGTACTATTCAGCCCTGTAATAACAGCCGAGTGTGTCACATAGTGGCACGTGACTTGAACAGGACAACTCTGTTGATACGGGATGTGGACTTTTATTTAAGCAGCGCCCCCACCCATTGGTCGGCTGATTGAGAGGGGTTGGTGGGGGGGTCAAGAGGCGTTGGTAGGGAGGGGTTGGTCGGATGGTCAAGAGTGGTTGCGAGGCGTTGGTCGGATGGTCAAGAGTGGTTGCGAGGCGTTGGTTGGGTGGTCGGGAGGGGAGGGGGTGGTCGAAGGGTTCAGGGTTTAGATGCGTAAAGTTATGAGCGTACGTTAAATGGAACTGAACTCTAATACTTTGCAACCATCAAAACATTTTAAATAAAACTTCGGCTTGTAATTTCTTGAGCTCCACCCCCTCCCGCTACGCTGGTCCCTATCAAACAAAACAGATCATCACATTACATCGCACATAGGTGGTCTAGCGTAGACGTCAATAGCTATGTTCACCAGTCGATCTATATCGTCCCCGCCCTGCCGACACAACAGTAAAACGACCTTGTTTGCTTTATGTGACAACCGAATAAAAATATATCACGATTTCCAAACAGGTGATGTGGAAACAGCTGGTATGGCCTCTGCCCATTTCAAGAGGTGGTGACAACAAGTTCGATCACCACAAAGTCACATGTATTTCGTCAATTATAATTTTCATAGACCTAGCCTTGATAATCACGAATTAAATTTACAACTAAAATATTCAAACCGAAGGAAAATAATAACGTTTACACTCAGTTATGTGGTGTGTGGGCCTGTGGTTAACATTTTTATACTAAGCGCTAATTACTTTTGAGGTGGGCGATATACACCAGATGATTAAGTAATCTAATTAAGCTTATGAAAGCCTTCCTTACCTAAATTGATTTATATAATTAAAATTTTTATTATTTAGACTTAATACCCGTATCATAATTAACACCGTGAAATGAGATCGATAAATCGATTAGCGAAGCTAAACAAAACAGAGTCTTAATTATTTATCTCTACATAAATCCATACAGCGAAAATAAGGCAAATATTTTAACTTAGCAAGTTAGTCCAACACATATGAAATACCTGTAGTCTACAGCTAGATCTACAAGATTCAAAACCAAAACAAATCACACCTGAGTTTGTTAACAGATTCAGGTGGGTTCGACCCTGAATTGGCAACTTATCACTTATCCGTTAGTGAATGATTCACCTTGTCCATAAGAAATCACAATATCCAACAGAACAGTCGAACTGAGAAAACAAACACTAACCTACACTAACTTTGTGAATGAATCAAACATCGATTCATCGATTCGACTAATGGCGATGTGGGTTGGCGTCTTTAGAAAAAAAAACTAATTACAACAACCCAATCACTACAGCACAGTGACCCGGCAGGGTCGTGAAATACGAGCACACACAGTTTAATCCACGGACACGCAGAGGGAAGAAATTTGATAACACGGCACATACAGGCAACACACACACACACACTGCTACACGCTGAGTGTCGAAGTGTTGACTGTCTCGACACAGGTCGAATCCAATCTAGGGGCCAGCTGTTTGCGCTGTGATTGTAAACAAGATTGTGTGGTGTGTGTTTTATTTTATGTTCACTGTTGTTAGTTTGGGTCTTTGCTGTGTAGGTAGGTGTACACTAACGTGGGTCGCGTGCTGAAGGGGGGGGGGGGGGTGTGACTTTCTGAGGTGAGGGGAAGGATGGGGCGAAAGACGGGCCCAGTGCAAACACAATCACAGCAGGTTGACCCGTAACACAGAGTTACCTGCGGCGGTGTCGAGGAAAGATTGTTGCCACTGGAAATTATATCCCCTTGCGCGCGCTGCATGGGAATGTCAGAAGGTGAGTAGAGTATATTAAAGGGGAGATTTGTACAGGTGAGACCTAAATAGGTGAGATTTGTACAGGTGAGACCTTTATGGGTGAGATTTGTGTATGTGAGACCTTTATAGGTGAGATTTGTATAGGTGAGACCTTTATAGGTGAGACTTGTACAGGTGAGACCTTTATAGGTGAGACCTTTATGGGTGAGATTTGTACAAGTGAGACCTTTATTTGTGAGATTTCTACAGGTGAGGTTTGTACAGGTGAGATTTGTACAGGTGTGTCCTTTATAGGTGAGACCCTTATACTATAGATCAGACTTGTACAGATGAAACTTGCTTAGCAATAAAGCTTGTAATGCAGTATATGTGAGACTTTATTAGAATTAGTGAGACTAGTAATACAAAATATAAGAACAATAGTTTAGTTTGTATAGGTGATACTTATTTTAAAAAGTGAAACGAATTGTACAACCGAAACCAGTAGCACGGGCTACCTGAGACTAAAGGTGAAAGTTCGAGTACTTAAGTAACTAAAGTGGCCCAAGAGGTAGGCGATAGGTAAGTAGTGTTAAAGTACAAGTACATCTCCATACTGTAGAAGTACCGAGTGGTCCAATTAAAGTGTGTACCTAGTGCACAGAAGAGGTGACACAATAAGAACAATTAGGCCAGTCGGCAATCTTTGAAATGCTCCATCAGCAGAAAGACCAGTGTGATAAACGTCAACTATTGTATGTATCAACTAGAGTTTCAATTCTATTGCAAAAGGTGTTTCCTGATTTTAAAAAAATAGAAAACACTATACATTTTAAGTTATTTTATTTAATTTTAGTAGCATTCTCTATAAGGGCTCTATAAAAAACGAGCATTACTGAGGCATAAAAAGTTAATGTATTTAATAACTAAAGATGCAAATTCCTATAACACCCCGCCCCTTCTATAAATAGCTCGCAACATTTATCTGTGTATCTTTCATTCAACTGAAGCCAAAATGCCATGCACGTGTTATGCACCTGCGCATTGATCAAGTTCAGACTCGAGATCTGCGGCATCAAAGCCGTCGACAAGGTGCACAACGGGTTGATATATGCAGGTAACGGAGTCGGTTAGAACAACAGGTTGATATATGCAGGTAACAGAGTCGGCTAGAACAACAGGTTGATATATACAGGTAAAGGAGTCGGTTAGAACAACAGGTTGATATATGCAGGTAAAGGAGTCGGTTAGAACAACAGGTTGATATATGCAGGTAACGGAGTCGGTTAGAACAACAGGTTGATATATGCAGGTAACAGAGTCGGCTAGAACAACAGGTTGATATATACAGGTAAAGGAGTCGGTTAGAACAACAAGTTGATATATGCAGGTAAAGGAGTCGGTTAGAACAACAGGTTGATATATGCAGGTAACGGAGTCGGTTAGAACAACAGGTTGATATATGCAGGTAACGAAGTCGGTTAGAACAAGAGGTTGATATTTGCAGGTAACGGGTAACGGAGTCGGTTAGAACAACAGGTACCCAAGTCCACGGGGGTGGGGTAGGGAGGGAGGGAGAGTCCGTCTCGCTGGAGTACAGTACTGGGACTGCCACACCAACAATACAGGTAATACAACATCAGACAGGTAACTGTGACTGTCAGGTAAAATACATGCTGCCAAGGTACAATACTGGCTACCACACCAACACCTCATTAGTACAACATCAAACAGGTAACCGTGACCGTACGATGTGTGTCAGGTAAAGTCCGTCCTGACGGCCACACCAACATCTCATCGGTACAACATCAAACAGGTACCTAGGTGACCATACGATGAGTCAGGTAAAATTTGTCCTGACGGCCACACCAACACCTCATTGGTACAATATCAAACAGGTAACTGTGACCATACGATGTGTGGTCTCATTATTAGCCCTGGTCACGCATGACTGAGAGTGTGCCCTAGCCTTCAGACGTACCACCAATCAGGCTAGACACAGCTGAAGAATGGACTGGAATGTGGAGACACACAAAGTTGAACAACGCGAAGGTCAAAACAATCGACAGATAACTCAGCGTAGTATCAAAGTATTCACTACAAAGCGGCGGAATTTTAAGAAATATAAAATAACGAGCCGACCCGCGGCGTATCATACCCGCTATTTAGTTGTTTCATTTTCTACCTTTCAATAATTCATAATTTGTGAATTGGACAGTACCAACGCTGCCACTGAAAATATTTGCTTTAAAACACTGTCATTAGCTCGTTAAGGACGATAACACCCCCCTCCTTTCCCCAACCCCAACCCCCCCCCCCCCCCCCGTGAAAGTAAACTCCTCTTAGTTAACTCCCCTAAGTTTAAAATCGTTTCAAACTAAATTATCTGCCCCTAATAGCCGTCACTAAATCCGGCTCTACGATTGTAAAGATTTAGCGTGAACCACAGCTCACCAGATCATGTAGGGGTGGGGGTGGTAGGGAGCGCGCTTACAGATTGGTGTTTTCTATCGTCTCTAAGAAGATAATTATATATATAGATAGATGAAAACATACATGAAGGAAAAAATCTGATGTACAAAGTCATAATTTTCTGCAGTCTAATATAACAACACAGCATATCAACAACTTTTCATTTGACCTAAATGAAAGAGTAAACAACTTTTCGTTAGTTTTAAGAACAAAAGCGTTGGTAGCTGAAATGTATTGAAAATATCTCTTGTCAGGAATTGTGCCTAGATAATAAATACAAGACGGTACCTAGCTAACGGTAGGGCATTTCCGTTAACTGTACCTAGCTAATGGACAACATCACAGCTAACTGTACCTAGCTAATGGACAACATTACAGGTAACTGTACCTAGCTAATGGACAACATTACAGGTAATTGTACCTAGCTAATGGACAACATTACAGGTAACTGTACCTAGCTAATGGACAACATTACAGGTAAATGTACCTAGCTTATTGACAACATTACAGGTAACTGTACCTAGCTAATGGACAACATTACAGGTAACTGTACCTAGCTAATGGACAACATTACAGGTAACTGTACCTAGCTAATGGACAACATTTACAGGTAACTGTACCTAGCAAATGGACAACATTACAGGTAACTGTACCTAGCTAATGGACAACATTACAGGTAACTGTACCTACCTAATGGATATTTCAGATCACTATACGTAGCTAATGAACATTTTAGAAAAAATGTTGTGATGCTAGAGAATAAAAGCCTATTCTACGCAAGGCCCTTTAAAAACATGTTTTTAAAGACTTAGACACGTTGCTTTATAACAGAGATGTACAGAAAAAACATGCCGCACTACTATAAATAGGAATTATTTTTACACATAAAAGTGAAAGTTAATCTTAAAACTAAAATAAGACTTTACTGTTTAAGTGGTGTATTTCAAGACACTTTCATGTGTTGAGAAAAACAAGTTTTTGAGCTGGACATTTAGCGGTGTTGGTATAAAATGCCAGTCCAGGCGCTTGTTAGTAGTAAGGAAGACGAGTCAATTATTTTAATTTGTGCATGTTGTGTCTATGTTCCATATAAACTGTGCGGCCGTGCAGAAGTTGTAAACCTGCCGCGCAATCGTTTTGCTTAATACCCTTTACAAGTTTCCGATCAGCGCGCACACATAATACATTTTGACAGACTATTTTGCTATTGAGGGGAAAATTTACGCATGACGAACGGTTTGATATTAGTCATATGTATTTACATAATAGCACGTTATACCTTAAAAATACAGTAAATAAAGCGATGTATTTTTTTACCTCATATAACTGGAAGGTGTGGTCTACACTATGCTACCTACTTTACTTCCTACCCACTAGGCCCGGTACTCATGTGAGATAGATGGATATCTTACTATATCTTCTACTCACGCCCAGGAACTGAACTCAAGATTTCTTATCGTGTGCTTTAACTATTTCGTTTAGTTTATAAACTGTTTAGTTTTTTTTTTTTTCATTTACTGACGAAATAGCTCTTATTTCAATTTCTCTACAAACATCTAACAACTTATTTCTTGAAACCAGTCATCAGTTAGACCGTCGGTAAGACAGACTGTATACAATGTCATTACTTAGACTGTCGATAATCCAGACTGTATACGATGTACCGAGCTACTGTGGAAACACACAACAACAGTGTCCAGGGAACAAACTACTCACCTTGATGAGATCCAGCCGACCGTGACCACAGGTACAGCTCAGTTTCTTGCCGTGCCATCTTGACCCACCAACTGGTGTGGGACAGTTCCGGTTTCCGGTCAGTATTGTACTAGAACACCGACTCTCGTTTCCTGGGGAAAACCCGTTCCGGTGCCCTGATGTGTCACTATTCCGGCTACCGGGGCGTTCTGTTACGGGAGAGCGACCGGTCCGATTTAGCGTGACTGGTGTACCGGAGTTACGGGTACAAGAGCTGGGGCTTTCGATCACAGGTGTGCCGCAGTTCCTGATGACAATTACTGGAGTGTCGCAGTTCCGCTTACCGGCCACCAGTGAGCCAGAGTTTCGACTTCTGGTAACCGGTGAACTGGCGTTCCGGTTTCCGGTCACTGGTGAGCCAGTGCTCAGGCTTCTGGTTACCGGTGAACTGCCGTTACGGTTTCCGGTAACGGGTGAAAAGTTGTTCCGGTTTCCGGTCACCGGTGAACTGCTGTTCCGGTTTCCGGTCACTGGTGAACTGCCTTTCCGGTTT